GAGAGAGAGAGAGAGAGAGAGAGAGAGAGAGAGAGAGAGAGAGAGAGAGAGAGAGTATGTGTTAGGTTGTTTTTTCTTTGTTTTTATGAAGAATATATGCTGTAAGCATTTTACATTTGTGTTCTGTGTCCTGATATCTTCAGCTGAGCTTTTTCTGATGGTCTGATCAACCAAGGGAAAAGGGGCAAAAAAAGGGGGGGAGGAACTTTTCTGTCAAAAGTTTCAAAGCTTTAAAAAGATATAGTCTTTTCTTTCTATCTCTAATTCTGCCCATGTTGGAAATGCAAAGAGAGAGACAAAAGGGGAGGAATTCCTTCCCCATTTGCAGAGACTTATGGTCTATTGGAAAGTAAAAAGAGACTAAATATGACTGAAGTGTAATCTACTTAATGTGGATTTCCAAATTATAATGTGAGTATGGTTGGAATGTTTTTATTCTATATGCTTAAATATCTTTGTGGGTTGTGGGTTTAGGGGGAATTTATGATCCTGGCAGTGGAACCCTTTTAATAAGGACAATAATACTTGTAATACCCATCACAGGGTTGTTAGGCTCATATGAGATAACGTAGGCCAAGGGCTTTGGGAACTATAAAATGCTATGGAAAGTGTCTGTTGTTTTTATTTTTATATAATCCAAAATTCTGCCTCTAGTCTACAGAATTACTGATTATTAGCTCATAGGACCATAGATTTAGAGCTGGAAGGGACCTCAAAGGTCATCTCATCATCTAACCTCGAGTTAGTTTGACAAGTAAGGGGCAAAGTCCTGAACTGGGTTATCACTAACATCTCTTCCAACTATTAATCATTTTTTTTTAATTTGTGAAAATTATAACTTTTAAAAGCTATCATTCATCCGGCCACATTTAGGGATAGGGGCTGTACCTATGATTTCACTGGCCTAGAGAACTCCTTCTATCAATGCAAGTTGGTACTTTCTCTGCAGTTTAGAGTCATCCAAAGTTGCCTGGGAAACTCAGAGGTTAGGTGACTTACCCAGGATCCCACAACCAGTTTGTGTAGAGCTGGATTTGAACCCAGTTCCTCCTAGCTTCAAGTCCAGCTCTTTATCCATTATGTCCCACTGCCTCTTGATCTATCCTCTGACCACATTAAAGCCCGGTTGTCAACCTTCCATGGGGCATGTGGAAAATCAGTGATGTGGGTGAATGAACAGTTAGACTTATACCATCCCTATACACTGAAGAGATGTGTCCTTGGTGATGTGGACTAGGGAAGAAGATTTAACCCGAATAGTTTTTACTTTTGCTAGGTGGTAGTGGAGCAGCTGGGTGGCTCAGAAGATAGAGTGACAGGCCTGAAGTCAGGAAGACTCATCTTCCTGAGTTCAAATCCAGCCTCAGACATGTACTAGCTGTGGGACCCTGGGCAAGTCACTTCACCCTGTTTGCCTCAGTTTCCTCATCTGTAAAATGAGCTGGAGAAGGAAATGGCCAACCAATCCAGTATCTTTGCCAGGAAAACCCCAAATAGAGTCGAACATAACTGAAACAACTCAACAATGACGACAAAAAGGTGGTAGTGAGATGAGGCAGGGCAGGGCAGAGTTAGAGGGTGAGAAGTGGAGAAAGGGACTGTGGCATTGAAGAAGTTTCAGTAATAAGCTGAAATTCTGATTAGTGCCCTGGCAGTATGGGGAAGTGGCCAGCCTGCTTTGGGAAGATTTTTCTGTTCATCAAGTTGACAAATTGAGCAAATCGGTAGCCATGTAGCCGTAATGAGTAGAAGCCTCAAAATGGGAGAGATTGGTCCACCCATAGCAGCACTATTTTTCAAAATCTATTTTCTAGATATACTGTTATAGAACAGGGCCCCTGCAGGTGGTTTACATAATGTCGCCCTCTTTCTCTAGCTCATCTCAAAACATATGTCCAATTTCCTAATGCCCGAGTAACAGGAGTTTCCTGCTGTGTGATCTATGGGTCTCTATCTGCTGAAGAAAGGTGAGGATAAGCTCCCAGGGAGAGCAGGGGTGTTGCATCGCCTCAGGGCAATGACAGAGATTGCTGACCACATGAAAACTGTCAGAGAGGAGGATGACTGAAGTCATAAAGATTTCATAATGCTCTGAGTGGGCTGAGGTGTTGAGGAATACACTTTCCCAACTTTAAAGCACTATATAAATGATTATCATCTGTTCTAAACCCCTCATATTGCAGATGAAGCAGCCTGGTGTAGTGGGAAGAGCATTGGCTCAGGAGTTCAAGGATCTGGGTTAAATTCTCACCTTTGGCACTTACAACTTGTGTGATCTTGGGTAAATCTCTCAACCCCCCTAAGCCTCAGACTTTTCATTTATAAAATAGGGCAATTGTGTATGTGGGGTGTATTAGACAGTCTCTGAGTTCTCTTCCAGCTCTAAAGCTATGATCCTACAAAACTGAGACCCAAAGAGGCAGACATAACATCGCTAGATGGGAACTTGGAGATAATCTAGTCCAACCTATATCCTCTATTAAACTCTTATCAATGAAATTGAGTCAACCACTCCTTTGATAGAGAGAGGACAAGAGCAATTTCTCGGGATTCGGAAAGCCTGAGTGCGAATCCTAACTCTGATACTTACTACTGGTGTAACCTTGGGCAAGTCACTGAACCTCTCTCAACCTCAATTTCCTCATCTGTAAAACGAGAGGGTTACCCTAGATGACCTCTAAGGTCCCTGGTAACTAAATCTATGATCTTAGAGTCTCACCTCCCAGATCCTCAGTTTCCTTATTTATAAAATTGAAGATACTGGATTTGATGGTGTCTGAGATCCTTGAAACAGGTAGTCATTTATTCTTGGGAAAAACTGATTCCCTAATATGATGCCCCAGAATACACTATCCCTCCCCACAAAAAGTAAATGCGCACACATATATTTACTATACACATACAGACACACACACACACACACAGTCATATATGTACATGCACATATATATATACTTACTTTTATATATATATATGTGTATATATCATATATTTATTTATATATTAAGAATATATCATTGAATATACTATTGTTAATATTAAGTAAATTATTAACTATAATCACATTAATAAGAAAATAAAGCAATAGTAAAATATCTAATTATTAAATTATTACATATGTTATAATATATTATGTATATTATAGTATACATATATAAATTCTCGGTGTGGAAACTGATATATACACATATGCATATACATGTACATATCACATTTACCTCCAAATTTTAGCCCTACTCTCTGTGATTCCCTGCTTATCCCCTCAAGTCCCCAAGCTGTAGTTTCTTGGAATCACAAGATTTACAACTAAAAGAGACTTTAGAGATCATTTGGTTCCACCATCTCATTTTGTGTTGTCCTAAGTCACAAGAGTAGGAAGATGCAGACCCAGGGTTCTAACCCAGACCCTCTGGCACCAAAGTCAGTGTTTTTTTTCCCCTAATGCACTATGTTCTTTGCTGCCTGTCTACTGTTCCCTGGGCCAGGCCCTTGGCAGGAGGGTTCTTTGGTGGGCTAGGTCCTCTGGCCACTGGAAAGAATACAAAATGGTAGTCTGTGTTTGGCCTGTGACCCCTCTGCTCTGCCCTGCAGCCATCTTGAGCGAACTCCTTCAGAGGGAGAACCGAGTGCTGCATTTCTGGACCTTGAAGAAGCGACGATTAGACCAGTGCCAGCAGTATGTGGTGTTCGAGCGCAGCGCCAAGCAGGTATTACTGGAGCTTGCACCTCACTTTCCCTTCCGGGGACCTCTCTACCCCATTCCCATCCCTCTCTACAGTGATCAAAGCCTCAGAAAATCCAGAGGAGACTGTCTAAGGCAGGAGGACAGGGAAGAGGGGGAAGGAAGGCAGCTGACAGGAAGGACGAGGTGGTCATTTTTTAACTCACCAACAACATTAGTTAAGCAACTTGTATGTAGAGCCCCTATTTCAGAGAGTTTTCAGGAGATGCCTAAAAGAGAAAAAGACTATCTTTGCTCTTAGGGTGTGCCTTTAGGGAGGTGGGGGAGTCCAAATTTAAGTAGGAAATCCCAGATGTGGAAATTGCTTTCTGCAATACAGAGCAGCAAGTCTTCTATAACTTAAAGCCTTAGAGTTGCCTAGGGCACTGAGAAGTTACGTTTAAGTGACTTGTTCAGGGTCACACAGCCAGTAGCTGTCAGAGGGAGAATTTGAACTTTCTGCCTCCAAGACTATTGATCTCTCAGTCCTATACCCTGTGATGAAACATAAAATCCATCCCCTCAGGGTGCTCCAAGCCTAAAGGGAAAGAACAGAAATAGTCAAGGGAAAACAAGTTAGCTAACAATTTATCAGTGCCTGTTAGCATTTCTCAAGTTCTATTATGTCATCCAGATAAACCTTCCTTCTGGTGTATTTTCCTCCTGAGGACTGGCTTTTTGGGGGACCTGGGGGTGTTCTTGCCTCCCACAGGCACTTGACTGGATCCAAGAGACAGGCGAATATTTCCTCTCAACGCACAACTCCACTGGCGAGTCCACAGACGAGACTCAGGAACTGCTGAAAGAGTATGGGGAATTCAGGGTGCCGGCCAAGGTAGGGAGCCTCCAGCCTCCCCCATCCCAAATCACTCTAGCCCTTCCCATCCCAGGGAGGGAAGAGCATATAAACCCAAGAGCCAGAATTGTAGTAGGTGATTAGGGCTTTATTCCAGATTGCTAGACTCAGAGGAAAGTGGACTTAGAAGATATTGTGATAGCTGTTGTGGTCCTCCAGCCATATAGAAATAACAGAACTTCACACGTAATTAGTAAGAATTAGTTAAAATACAAAGATGACAGTCTGAGGTAAGCTTCTCCCCTGCTCCTCCCATGTCTACCTGGGGTCTCTGTCTTCTACCCCATTCAATGGAAAGCCCACTTATAAATCTTGCCTTGGATACAGTTGTGGTACTTGTCCCCAAATTCCTAGTTACAGCTATTCTGAGAATAGATCTGTTTAGCAGTTAGCCACAGTTGCCAGGGAAACATAGTAGGAATCAGTTCCTTTGGGGCCTGAATTACAGCTGTTGACTAGAACAAGTCTGTTCCTGGTTTCTTAATGATCAGCTCCTGCCTATTCTGTTTCCAGATACTCACCATCATCTCTCTAACGATTTTCTTGGCTCCTACTTTTGGTATATTCTTTAGGCCATCTAATGTGAGGAATTGCATAGACCCAGGGGAAGAGAGGTATCATACATTTGGGAACACATATTCTCACATCTGCATGTAATGGTACCATATGTCTGTACACCCACCCTCATGTATATATTTCCCTCATTTAAAGGGCTAATAACTGTGGATAAGCTCACCAAGCAGGAGGACCTCTAATTGATGAGCATTTCCCCCTACTTCTGCCTTGGCTTTTTCCCCCAGCTGAGGCATATTGAGGTCTCTAGAAAGCAGCCCCCCTACACACTTGTACCAAGTAGGATGATGCTAATGAGAGGCAACAGGACTAATCTCCCAATTTCATTTCCATCCGGATCCCCAGCCAAGATTTGATCTCAGGACCCATGGGGCTTAAGTGCCAATCCTCTCTGTCTCAAATTCAGGTCCCTTCTCTTTTATCTCCCCCTTCTTCCACCCCACACCCTGGGCTCCCTGCCATGGTAGGAGACTCTCTTGACATCAGTGCCAAAAACAGCAGATGGAGACCAGCCTGCTCTTCCCAGAGCTGTATGAGCTACCTCTGCAGAGATGAAGAATGTTCTGGGAGTTAATAGGGTACATTTCTCTCCTAACCCACCTCAGCTCTATTCACTGCCCTCTCTGATAACAGGAGCAGTTTCTGTTTGGGGTCTGCCCTCATGAACCTGAGATTTCTTGCCATAGAAAAGTCCAAGTTCTCTGTATAGCTATACAATCTGCTTTGTACATCATGTGTAGCTGGTACCTGAGAGTGTCTTTCCACTGCCATCTAGCACTTTCCCTGTCCAGTCTCCCACTGTGGGTAGGTGTGAGATCAGAGAAAGTAAACTAATTTAAATACCAGGGAGTCAGACATCACGCTTTAAAAATTCATGTAATACATTCCCATCTCAAGTGGAAATGACTTTTGGATTATCTCAGTTGAGACTATATTCCCCTCCATCCGGAAGAATGATAGTTAACTGGGTCCATAGGGTGTTAAGGCCCATCCTGTTCTCACTTAGATAAAGTGGGACAGATGCTTTAGATAGAAACCCTTACCCCTGGATTCCAGAACAGAGCCTGGGCCGCAGCACAAGCCAGCCTTGCAGGAAGCTATAATACTGAATGAGTGAAATGGACATTTGGCAAATTACATGATCAGTTATGATTACAAATAGAGATTGGGACTAGTCAGTGATTTTATTAGTATGGGGAAGCCTCCAGGTAAGGAAGTTTTGTCCACCAAAGCAGGTCAGTACTTATTTGTTCAGTCCCTTCTCTGTAACTTAGTGAGTTGTCTAGAGGGTAGAGAGGTTACTTAACCTTTGTTAACCTTAACCTTTGTTTGCATCCAAGGACACAAAGCTATAATGTCAAAATTTGAACCTTGATCTTCCTTGCTCTAAGGCCAGTTCTTTATCTACTATATCATGCTGCTTCTTACTTAGTACAAATGATTAATCAGATCCATCTTTCCTCCAAATTTCCTCTCATATATATCACCACTTTCCCATTCCCACCATTACCTTCTCTGCACTGCTTTAATCAAATGAATCTTTTGCTCATTTCCCCCTACTTCTGCCTTGGCTTTTTCCCCCAGCTGAGGCATATTGAGGTCTCTAGAAAGCAGCCCCCCTACACACTTGTACCAAGTAGGATGATGCTAATGAGAGGCAACAGGACTAATCTCCCAATTTCATTTCCATCCGGATCCCCAGCCAAGATTTGATCTCAGGACCCATGGGGCTTAAGTGCCAATCCTAAATATGTAATATGTAACAACAGAATGTAAGTTCCTTGAGGGCTGCAAGGTTTTGGTTTATGTGTTTGTATCCCCCAGCAGCTGACATAGTGCCTGACACACAGTAGGTCCTTACTAAATGTTGATTGATTGATATTTACCAAATAGTAGCATTCCAATGACACCGAGAGTTCAATTAAATAATTCAGGTCAAAATTGGATTTTGTTTCCCATTCTCCCCTACTTACAAGAGAAAACTGAAATTCTTTAGCAGGAGCATTTGAAATCCTCTACAAGATAGTCCTTATCTACCTTTCTAGCCTGATCTGCCATTTCTTCCCTTTGCAGACCCTCCCTGCAAGCTAAAAATTTCCTCTTACTAACCTCAAATAAACAGCAAATATTTCTTGAATCAACTTGCATTTTTCTACCTCTGTGTTTTTCTTTTCTCACTCCCTGAAATGTCTCCCTTCTTACCAAATTCCTCCCCTACTTCATCACGTTTTCTTTGCATACTTTCCTGATGTGTCAAATAAACGTGATTTCTCCCACTTCTTAAATAGTACTTTTTGTCTACATGATTTCATATAATACTTAGTATTTTCTGCTTTTCTTTCCAGTTTTTGTATTTATTTTACTAATTTAAAATCTCAGGGTTAGGGAGAGGGGGATGGCAAGGACTGTGACTTATATATCCATGTATAGTCTATTCTAGTCACTCTATTACCTAGAATAGAAAGTTACATACAATAGATAGCCAATGAATATTTATTGTTTGAATGAAAAAGTTTGAACTTCTCCCCAAATCCAATTTTGACCTGAATTATTTAATTGAACTCTCGGTGTCATTGGAATGCTACTATTTGGTAAATATCAATCAATCAACATTTAGTAAGGACCTACTGTGTGTCAGGCACTATGTCAGCTGCTGGGGGATACAAACACATAAACCAAAACCTTGCAGCCCTCAAGGAACTTACATTCTGTTGTTACATATTACATATTTAGGTAACATGTACACATACATATAGATACAGGGGGGATGTGGGGTTAGATCTACGATTTCATTGGTTTAGAGAACTCTCAACCGATGCAGATTGGCAACACATAGTCTATAGAGAGAGCTGTTTGGGGTGCTGAAAAGTGAAATGATATGCTCATTGCCCATCAGCCAATATGAGTCAGATACTGCTGACTCCAGTTCTCCATGACACTGAGGCTAGCTGTCTATCCACCATGACATAATTCTATCTCATAAAATATTTACTTATACAAAACATCAGCCTCTGAGTCCAAATACAGGCCGGTTGGCCTTTAGTCCTTCATTCCATTCCTTCCAATTTCATTCAATTCATTCAATACTGATTAGGTCCTATTGTGTAGAGAGCAGAGTGTGACAGGACATGACTCCCCTGTGTGCATCATAGAACTTACCATTTACTAGGAAGATATGCCATATACGTGATAATCACAATATAAAATCATATGTGATCAGGCAGCGAGGTGGCTCAGTGAATACAGTGATGGATCTAGAGTAAAAGAAACCTGAGTTCAAAGCCTGCCTCATATATTTACAGGCTGTGTGATTCTGGGGCAAGTCAATTAATTTCTGTCTGCCTCAGTGTCCTCATCTGTAAAATAGGGGCTGCTAGGTGGCACAGTAGATAGAGTACCAGACTGGAGTCAGGAGGACCCAAGTTCAAATGTGACCTCAGACACTAACTAGCTGTGTGACCCTGGACAAGTCACTTCACCTTCTTTGCCTCAGTTTCTTCATCTGTAAAATGAGCTAGAGAAGGAAAGAGCAAACCACTCTAGTATCTTTGCCAAGAAAACCCCAAATGGAGTCATAGAATCGGACATGACTGAATAATACATGATCAGAACATTAGCAGTCCTAAAAATAAGAACTAAAAGACCCCCCAGGGGAAAAGTCTCTTGTAATGAGGGGGATCTAGGAAAACCAGGGGAAGGGTATGTGATATTTATGTTTAATTGTAGAGATTGTATAAGAATTCAACTGGAAAGGAGGGCGTGGGAGAACATTCCAGCTATCGGGAAAGGTCTGAGTAGTGATAAAGGCAGGAATGTGCAGGCTATGATCCAAAGCAGAGGTTCTCAAAGTGTAGTCTTGGAAACCCCATCGAGTCCTGGAGAGCCTTTCAAGGGGGTCCTTGAAGTCAAAGCTACTTTCTTAATTAAACTAAGACATTTTGATTTCTAATATGATAAATATCAACCAATATAACCATGTAAGCAAAAGTAGGGGTGGAGGATCCACAATAATTTTTAAGAATACAAAGAGGTCCTGAGAACAAAAAGTCTGGAAACCACTGGTCTAAAGAATGTTCCAGTTTGGCAATAACGTATTAATTCATTCATTCACAAATGAATCTATTAATTCATTAACTTGAGAGTATCTCCTATGTGCAAAGCACTATGTCAGTCCTGACTACAACAAAGTAAACTTGAAATTTTCACACAAGAACATAAATATGAGATCATAGATGTCCTTGAAACTTAACAAGATAGTTCTCATGGCTATGTTACAGCAACTGAATGTTATGCTGATACTTTGTTGTTGTTCAGTCATATCTGAGTTTTCATGACCCCATGGACCATACTGTTCATGGGATTTTCTTGGCAAAGATACTGGAGTGGTTGGCCATTTCCTTCTCCAGTGGATTAAAGCAAGCAGAGGGTAAATGACTTGCTCAGGGTCAAACAGCTGAAAAGTGTCTGAGGCTGAATTTGAATTCAAATCTTCCTGACTCCAGGTCCTGCGCTGTATCCACAGAGTCACCTAGCTACTTTTGCTGGATCCTTACAACACTTAAAAACAATAGGCCTAGTGGAAAGTGAGAAGCAGCACTGCATAAAATTTTACAAACTTGAAAATAGAAGCAAGGAAAGAGCATTTGGGCGGGGATAAGAGAGAGAAATAGAAAAAAAAAAGTATTCTGTGGGAGTTGCTTTCCTAATATAAATTACAAAACTTAGAGAAAGGCAAGCTATATACTGATGAGGAACTCAAGTTTTCTGGCATCTCTAAGAAGTCCAATTCTGCTAAAAGCAGTCCATTTGACTAATTCTTGGCTTGCCCAGCTCACAATTTAATATCCAACAGGAGAGGAAGCAACAAAGTGACTGCTTTTCTGGGCTTAATTCTAATGAACAAAGAAAAATAGGTTAGCAATGTAAAAATGACAGGAACCATGGGAGAAAAATGATTGCTTCATCCTTGATCTTCTGGTAGCAAAGAACAGGAAAAATGAACATAAAGATGTATCCTAGGCTTGGAAAATCTATATTTTAAAGCTTCAGAGAAAAGATAGTTATACTCCCATTGCTGGGATTTTATTCCCTATTAGGGAACAATTCTAAAAAATGAATCTTACTGCATAATTACAAATAATCATAATGAGAAAAAAAGAAAAAGTCTCTAAAAACCCAATGTGGCTACACCGAGAGTTCTCTGTTGAGCTTCTCTTTACAGAGATTATTTACAAGAGAGACAGCGACACATAAGAATAGATGCAGGTGAAAGAATGGCACTATCTCATAAAAATACTTTGAGGGAAGTTAAAGCCCCAGATGAACTGAGACTTGTACAAGGTGCCAAAAGGGGTTGTTTGTGTATGCTGAAGACAAGAAGCAAAAGGAAGGCATGAGAACTACTGCTTTAGGAAGACATTGACTGGTGACAGAGCGAAGGCAGAACTCAGCTCCTGTTGACTGCCTTCTTTTTCAGCAAGGAGAGTGGTCATCAGACTAGGAAGTGCAAGAAAAATTGGCTTAGAAGGGAATTGAAATTCAGGAGAGGTGAGAAGGTAGCATATATATACACAGTCACTTTCTTTATATTCCAACTTCCAGGAACAAACAAATTATTTCCCAGGATCCTGAAGGTATTTGAAAATATTATCACAGTATTCACGTCAATATGCATTTAAGGAGTGCTTACTGTATACCATGCTAGTGGTATACCACTGCAAGTCAACAGTTTTTAGGGAATAATGGAAAATAGAAGAGATGCCAGTATTTGAGAGAGGAACAGCTATGCTGATTTTTCAAAAGAAGGAAAAAAGAGACCTGGAAACCACAGATAGATAAACTTTATGCCAATCCCTGGAAAAATTCTGAATTGTTTTGTGGGCATTTAGATAAATACTTCAGTTGGTTACTAAGAGTAAGCATAGGTTGACCAAAAATAAGTCATTGCAAACTAACATCATTTCCTTTTTTTATAAGGATATTTTGCTGATCAACTAAGAAAATGCCATAAACTTTCAAGTTGTTTACTTTAGCTTTATTTTGCTTAAACTTCATAGACATTTTTTCTTTCTTTTTTTTTTTGTATTTATATCCCCAGTGCTTAGCACAGTGCTTAGCACATAGTAGGCACTTAATAAATATATATTGACTATTGGCTTTTGACAGTGTCCTTGATGTCCTCAGGGTGAATGGTGAAATGTGGGTGAAATAAGAGTATTCTTAGGGAGACCCAGAGCTAACTGCATAACGTTACCTAGGGTGTTGATTTGATGACTCTATGCTAACCTAGAAAGAGCCCTATTATGAATTATTGTAAGTCTCTTTTCTTACCCCATCCTGATCCACATTTTTATTTGTGACTCAGAAGACCTAGATGGAACAATGATCAGATGCAAAGATGGCATAAAACAGAGCGAGGAAGCAGACTCCAGAAATGACATGATTAAGTTTCCTGAATATCTTGACAAGGTGGAATGTAGCTTGGAAACTAACTAGCTAAAACTTAGCTAAAAAGCAATCAATGTAAAGTCCTCTATGTAAGATTTATTTTTAAAAAATCAACTGCATCAATCAGTACTTCTGGAGTTAATTTTCCTGTGGTTTGACTATTCCTGAAATTCAGGTACATTGACTCCAGGTACAAGTAAAAAGTCAGGCACTGGAGGTTGGAGTGTCTAACTATAGGACAAAAGAAGTTACATTGCAACCTGAGGACTGGAAGGCAGATGAAAGTATGTAAAAGTAGATTGATCTTTATTATCTCAAATACTCAGATGGATCCGTGACCGTGTCAATGTGGCTCTTCCTTCCAGCCATGCAGATCATAACCCCTCCATGAATGCCCACCCTATGAGACCCTTTTGTCCTTGCCTTTTCATAAATTTGCCACATAGGAGTCACACAAATACCTCCCCCTCCACCCTTCTCTTGACATTGTGAGAAACACCAATGGTGACCACAAGCTGTCCACTGATTATCTTTCACTCTTGCCCTATGAGCAATCCATCTTCTTCCTTGCCCCTACATTTCTCTGTTGATATCATTTACTTCTGCTTTGTGATTCCTTCTTGGTGATGTCCTGCCCATGTCCCCTGCTCCCTGTTGCCCCTCAGTTGCCCCTCAATTTCAATTCTGTGGAGAGTGTTTTGTTAGATGTTCTATGGCTCATAGCCAAACAATAATTCTAGAAGAGTGTTGATGTTAAGAAGATGGCCCTTAAGGTAGAAGTCTGGAATCATTAAAGAAACTTGGAATATATAGGTTCTTTTCCTTTTCCCCTAATTATCTTTGGAAATAGATGAATAAGTCATTTCGATTTTTATAAATATCCAAATTAACTATAAAGGACCTATGAAGTAAAACACTATTTGCATCCAGAGAGAGAACTGACAAGTAAAAGTATTTATAGAATAATTTTACATAAATATACCTGTTTATGTCTATTGGTAGCCATTTCTAGGGTGGGGCAGGGAAGAAAAAATTAATATGATAACTTTATTATGTATTTAAAAGGAATAGCAAGTCATACATAATAGATTCGCAGTTTCATTTTTATTATGCTACATTATGGAGAGGCTTGTTTTATTCCATAAATTAAAAATAAAATACATAAATGTGAAAAAAAAGAAACTGGGAGATTTCCCAAAGTGACCTTGATTACAGCAGTTAAAACTCTTGTAAACTTTAAATAAATACAATACTCAAGAGGATCTGCTCCTTGGAATAGACTTAATAAAATCACTTTGTAAACCTAGAATACCCACAAGTTTTATTTTTCTTATTTGACTTTTTAAGGTTTTAGTCTTAACCGTTCTTCTCCTTTAAAGTATAGAATTTCAGAAAGCTTTTCCTTTCCTCATATTCAATTGGTTATCATCATCATCAAAACTGCTCTGACAACTCAGGACTCAGCTCTTAGTTTTGACTTACTCTGATTTAGGAAAATCAAGTTGTCAGTTACCCTGGGAAGTCGATTATATTCTGAGGCAGGAGAGGATTACTTAAGGCTTATGGTACAGGAGATGGTCACATTGCTAAGATCAGCTTCACAATGACAATATGACAAGGCCCTAATGTTCTTCCTCCTGCCATTATCCCATTGGGGCTGGCATTTCTCCAGCTCTGGTCCTTAGAAACCACTTCTTGAAGATCCCCAAGGCACTACCTTTTGAATCTGGTGGTTGATACCTTTCTATCATGGGAATATACCAATGTGCATAATATTTGAAAAGTCCTAGTCTGTACCATGTCTCTAGTTCTGTGACCTGCCCATGACTTGTGGGAGGGGAAGGACAGGTTTGGATGAGGAAGAAATAGGTTGTCCACCCTGATATACTTCTGACGGGGAGGGATTGCTTCATTTTTGTCTCTGTATCCCCAAGACTAGTACAGTGCCTGACACATAGTAGGTACTTCATAAATGCTTGTTGCTTACTTGCTTAGTCAAAACTAAATTAATCCAGTACTATGGGGTCATCTTTTGGGAGCAGCAAACAAAGGAGAAAGTGAAACTTCTGATTCAGCTGGCCGACAGCTTTGTTGAAAAGGGCCACATCCATGCCACTGAGATCAGGAAATGGGTGACTACGGTTGATAAGCACTATCGAGACTTTTCCCTGAGGATGGGGAAGTACCGCTATTCACTGGAGAAAGCCCTGGGAGTCAACACTGAGGTAGGTGGGCCGAATAGTCCTTTCCCCTCCCTCTCCATCACTTTCAGTCCTGTCAGTAACTTGTACTACAGCAGAATACAAACTATGTCCATGTTGTACTTGGCACCCAAAGATGAGTTTTCTGACAATCCAGAGCACATTCACACTGAATTTTGTAGTAGACAGGATGGATTACATTGAGCCAACCTACTAATGCATTTGCATAATGGCTAGCCAGGGTTATTGGTGCTTTTTGTGGCTATAGAACAGAACTTTTCTCTGAGTCAAGTTAATTGGTCCCCATTAGGAATTGGACTTATAATTTTGGTCTCATTAGCACGTTACTGATCTAACTGGCAAATTGCTATGGCTCCAGCTGTGGCAGGGGTTGCCCTTGTCAGATACTATTTGTGTGAGAGTCCTAGAGACTGAAAGTTTAATTGTTGAAGATATAGGACATAGTTGATGGGAATTTTAGAAGAGCTGTTTGGGAAAAGGGAAGACAAAGATGATTCTTATACTGTTATTTTAGGCAAGACACTCATAGAACCAAATTAGGTCTAGAAGCTATAGTTGGGCTAAGTATAGTGGTGCATACTTGTAATTTCTGCAGCAGAGGTGGCCGAAGATGGTGGATCACTTGAGCTTGGGAGTTCTGAGCTGTAGTGGATTGAGCCATTGGGTGTCTGCACTAAGTTCAGCATCAACAGGGGGAGCCCCTGGAAAGGGGGGACATAAGTCTACCTAAGGAGGGGTGAACCAACCCAAATCAGAAATGGAGCAGGTCAAAGCTTCCATTCTAATCAGTAGTGGCATTGGGCCTAGGAGTGACCACTGTATTTCCAGCCTGGGCAATATAGTGGAAGGAAGTTAGAAAGGAAGGAAGAAGGAAGGAAAAAAGAAAGGAAGGAAGGAGGAAAAGAAAAAAGAGGAGAAAAAGTAGCTATAGGTAACCCAATAAACATTGTTGGAGTGGAGTGTGATAACTGTTCCATTCAAACTGATCCCTAGCATCATTTCTCACACCAGCCCCACTATCAAATTCCAGCCTTCTGCAAGGGTAACCTAATAAACAGGAACATAGTGGGTTAGGAGTGAGCAGAAGGATGGGCAGCCCCTCTTCTCTCCTGTGCAGAGTGAGCATCATGTGACTGAAGATGCTAACCTTCCTCCCATCCCTTCTTAGTATCACATAGTGTCTCAAAACAAAAGATGTAGGCATCAGCTTCCAACAGAGACAGATAGAGCCCCTAATGCACAGGAAAGCAAGATCAAAGAAATGATGAATAAATAAAGCCAGGGTCTTATAAGGGCGGGATCTCGAGAGCAGAGGACATGGAAATAAATTTCAAAAATGCAGATCTTCTGTCAGCCATAGTTACGAGTCTTTGTCACATTTTAATTTCATTTAATTTTAATTTGGTAGTCAAACAAGTCAGCTTAGTTCTCTCATGAGGAATTCTTACAAAAATTATCCAGAGAAGTCAGGGAAATCAAATCTGCTAAAAAGTTTGTAGATCACCTGTATAATCCATTTATCCAGACTCCTTCTGACATTTCTAAGATGAATGACAGATTGGATTATCTATAATTAGGGAGTGGAGCCAACCAATTTCTTCTTATTTTACAGGTTAAGCCTATAATGGGGTGTATTTGAGCTCTTCTTTAGGAATCTCACTCGTTTGATTACAGGATTTTGCTAGAACTATAGGAAAAGAGTTAAGGCAGGATGAGTGTTAGATGGACACTGAGACCTCACTTCACATTGAACAATGTCAAGGGAGGTCAGTTCACCCCCTGACGCAGACCCAAAGACCAAATGCTAACTGAAGTGTTTGTATCAGGTAAGAAAAAATTAATATACCCGTTAATTGCTTCTTTTTAGCCTTCTATTCCCAAGGATAAGTATTTATTTATATTTAAGCTTTGCATTGATTACTTCCCTAGGGACGTGAAAGTGTATTTGCATTTCCACATGACTAAATTTCACAAACTTTTGTGTTTCATAGTCAAGAGGCAGGCTTAACCAAAGTGTCCCATGCTAATAGCTCTGAGCAAGGTAGAAGAACTTACTCAATTGGTATAGGACATACTTAGCCTTAAGAGACAGACGTATAATTACTGAATTTGTTCATCTTTTTCCTGCTGTGAGCATTCACCTGGGCTGCAACTTTTTGTTATGTCAATTTCATGTAGAAAGAAAAGGATTTAAAAAACAAACCAACCTTCCCTTCCACAGGAGCATTTGTGGGTTTATGGTTTTGGTTCTGCTTCATCTTCTCATCTCCTTTCCTCAAAAGCACATCACTGTGGCTGTCTTTCCCTGGCCCACTCCCTTGTATCTTTTGAGTGGCCTCTCCCTGAGATGTCCACAAGTGATCAGATCTTCTTCAATCCTTCTGTCTATAGGATAACAAGGACCTGGAGCTGGACATCATCCCAGCAAGTCTCTCAGACCGAGAGGTCAAACTACGGGATGCCAACCACGAGGTCAACGAAGAGAAGCGGAAATCAGCCCGAAAGAAAGAGTATGTGCTCTCTGGGCAGCCCCAGCCCTGAAAAGCAGAGACCTCATAATAAGAAGTGTCCCTTTCCTTTATTTCCCATGTCCAGCCAGTCGCCAAATTGGGACAAAGGACAGAGCGCTGGACTCGGAGTCAGGAAGTCCTGATTTTAGAGCATACCTCAGATATTTACTAGCTGTGTGACCCTGGGCAAGTCACTTCACCTAGGTCTGTCTCAGTTTCCTTACATCAGAAAAAAAAGAGAGAGATTTGGACTTAATGGAAGGTCCCTTCCAGCTGTGATTCCATGATTCTATAAAATGTCTTTCACAGCTATCCATTCCTTTCCATTTCCACTGACATTCATTTATTCAACAAACATTTATTTTATTTTTTACTTATTCTTTTAATATTTTTATTTTTAAAATATTTTATTGGTGTCTTTTATTTTTTAATCATCACAATTTTCCCCAGCATTCCTACACCTCCCCTTTCCAGATAGCCATCCCACATAGCAAATAGTATTTTTATAAAGACAAAAAAGAAAAAGAAAAATAAGAAAAAAATCGGCACAATCAGTACATTGATGCAATGTGTAAAACATGTGGACCTCCCACATCCTTGCAGGAATGAAATGGGGGTGTCCTCTCATATCTCTTCATTCAAATCATGCTTCAGTTAGCATTGATTAAGTTTCACATTAATGTCCTTTCACCTCCTAGTAATGGTCCCATTTCATATTTCCCAGTGTTCTCATAACAACCCTAGGCAGATAGGATTCTTCTCATGGTCTATGCATCATCTTTACTGATGATTCCCAAAGCTTTCTCTCTACTACTGTCCTCTCCCCTGAACTCTGGTCCAGGTCTCCATCTGCCTGCAAGACATGAATCTGTGGGTTACCAAACCCCATATTGTCATCTCAAACTCAATTTGCCTAAACTCAATTTAACAACTTTCCTCCCCAGTCAGCCCCCTTCTGAACTTCCTTTCTTCCAGGTCTCCCAGGCAACCAGGCTCAAAGCCTTGCAGTCATGTTTGATTTATCCCTTCCCTTCCTTGATTACGGCCAGTCCACCATCAAGTTTTAACTATCCTTCCTCTAAAATGTCTCTTGTCCATTCACACTGCCATTTATTCATTCAGCAAGCATTTGTTAAACCCCTACTGTGTGCCAGGCATTATTCTAGGTATTGAGGATACAAAGCAAAAAAATAATAATCCCCGCCCTCACAGAGCTTATATTTTGCCAGAACGCTACCATTACCTACTCCAGGCCCACATCACCTCATTCTTAAATTATTTTAGTCTCCTTCCAGAGTTTTCTTTTTCTCCATTCTCTTCTGCACACTGTTGACAGATTGACCTTCCAAAAATAATGCTTTCATCATGGCATCCCCTTCCTGAAAATTTTCAGTGGCTCCCCTTTCTATAGGATGATTCAAAAACTCCTTGGTCTGGCATTCAGGGCTCTCCACATCCTAATTTTAACCTGCCTGTCTACCTAGTCTTATTCCCCCAATTCAAATTGCCTACTCCACCCTGGAATGGCCTTCTTGTTGTCCTAGATATAGGCCTCATGCTGCTATCCAGGCTTAGGAGGTCTCCTTTTCTTTATGCAATTTAAATCCTACTCATCCTTTGAAGTTCAACCCACTTCCTTTGTGTAGCCATCTGGACGACACCGGATGACACTGATTACCCCATTCTCTGAAGTTTTGTAGCACTTACTGTCCATACCATTGACCTGGTACTTAGTGCCTCATATTGCTATTGGGAAAGGGATAAGGACAACTAGGTAGTCCATTGGATAGAGCACTGGACCTGAAGTCAGGAAGGCCAGGGATCAGTCCTAGCCTCAAACACTTCCTATCTCCTGGGCAAATCACTTAACTGCTTTCTGCCTCAGTTTCCTCTCCTGTAAAATAGAGAAAATAACAGCACCTACCTCAAAGGTTTGTTGTCAGGATCAAATGAGATAATACTTGTAAATCCCTTAACACAGTACCTGGCACACTGAAGGTACTTAAATGTTTGTTCCCTTTCCCCTTTCCTATCTTGTCTTTCTCTATTCCCCTGTAATTTTATTGATATCAGGAACCCGAATAAGGAACTGTCTCTACCAGGGGTGGAGAACTTGTGGCCCTCTAGGTCCTCAGGTGAGGCTTTTAGACTGAGTCCAAGTTTGACAGGACAAATCCTTTTATTAAGGGGATTTGTTCTGTGAAGTTTGGATTCAGTGAAAGGGCTGCTCTTGAGGACCTAGAGGGCCACGTGTGGACTCGAGGCTGCAGGTCCCCCATTCCCAGACTACCAATGAAAATCATCCCTGTCTCTGCAACTTAAAGTTTTGCTGCCCTAATACAGATTAAAAAATAACCCCGTGACAGCATTGCTAATGGATACTCTCTCTGCTGGTGTAGGTTATGAGCCCTGTCTGGCTTAGCCTCATAGGTCTGGAGCTAGAAGAGACCTTAGAGGTTGTCTGGGTTGTCTGGGATCACACAGCCAGTGTCTATCAGAGAGAGGGCTTGAGCTCAGGTCCTCCTGGCTCTAAAGCTGGCTCTCTATCCTCTCCCACACTGCCTCTCTTGTATAGTTATTAAAACATTTAAATCCAATTCACCAAACACTTACTAAGCATGTAGGATGAGCAAGGTGCTCTGCTTGGTGCTGGAGGAAGAAAGTTGAGAAAATGGCAGGCCTCCATCCGCAAGTTAATAATAGAGGGCTGGCGGGGGAAGTGTATAACCTGTTATATAAATAAGTCTAATTTAAGGTAGAGTGTGATGGAAGTGAATGAGAGATCCAGACAAAGAGTTCTGGGAAAACCTCAGGAGAAGCCAGGTGGCTGGTCCTCAACAAGATTATAAGCAACCTTCCTGTCTCGGCAGGGAATGGGGAGGGAGGAGAGGGGTAGAATTTTGAATTTAGAACTTTAAAAAAAAAGTGTTAAAATTGTTTTTACATGTAATTGGGGAAAAAAGAAAACATCATTTTAAATAAATAAATAGCACCCCCAAAAAAGATTATAAGCAACTTGAAGGTGAAGATTATGCCTCAGTTTTAGTTTGTGTTGTTCATAGCCCCTGGCCCAGTGCTTAAGATAAAGTAGCTGTTCAATGAATATGTATTGATTTGAGTTAATTGGGAAAACCAAGATCTTGTCCAAGACCATGAAACAGGTCAGAGATAGAACCAGGCCTACACACTCCAGGTAGACCATGGAGCATTTCAGAAAGGCAAGGGAAGAACTCATCCTTTCCCTAATGATATCATCATCATCATCATCATCATCATCATCATCATCATCATCACATTTTAGATTCCCATAGGACTTTATCATTTACAAATAATTCCCATTTGTTTTCTCATTCAATCTTCCCAATGAGATAGCCCAGGCTGTAATAGTATTCCCATAATGCAAATGGGGAGACTGATAATCAGAACAGTTAGGGTTTTTATATAGGGTCATATAGCTAATAAGTGGGAGAGCCAGAGCTGGAATCTAAATTTGTTTGAGAAGTAACATGTAATTGTGGCTAGAGTGCTGGACCTGAAGTCAGAAAGACCTGGGTTCAAATATGTGACCTTGGCAAGTCACTGGTTTCCTCCTCTGTAAAATGAGGGATTGTGCAAAATGGTTTCTAAGATCCCCCTCAAGCTCTGTATTTCCGATTCTGCAATCTGAATCCCAATCCAGTGCTCATTCCTGGTTGCCAGCTTACTTTCCACCTTCTCAGCAGAGGGACCTTGGAAAGGAAGGGAAGGTGCATAATGATAGGCTGGTTCCAGCAGGAAGGAAAACTCCCTTCCGTCCAGGCAAATGCATAATTTGTGCCCAGGAGTAGATACAATGGGCACAAGTAGATACATCTTCTTTTAATGAAGAAGATGTCACCATCGGATTAGACTGTGGGGCTGCCACTGAGTCCTATGGAGTATTTCAACAGCTTAGGAGGAAAGGAGGTTTTGAGGAGTGCAGTCAAAGGCAGATTTGGGGGAAGCTTGGAGCTGTCAAGGGGTTTCAGGCATTCTCCTTGGTGTTACTAGGCAGATGGGGAGGGCAGGCATGGTGGCAGGATGCCATCTCATCTTCTACTTGATAGATCAGCACCAGAAAGGACTCTACATGCAGAAAAGGAAAAAGGCACATTTTCCCCACCTCCATTTTATCCTACCTGTCTTCCAGCACCTCATTGTGTCATGGTGGGGAACCCTAAATTCCCAAAGGCCATAACAGTAGAGGGAAAGTTCTGTCAAGCCCTGCCAAATCAGAAGGGTTTCTGTTATGGTCCCAGGGATGAACCATCATCCTAGGACCATCCTAGCTCAGTTCAGGGAAACTGATCACCAGGTTAGTCGCTGGGTGATGCATTCATTATTCACAGCATCTTGGGAAGACCTTCTCATCAAGAAGTGTGTAGTGGAGGCAGTGCTGAAATTGGAAACATAGGACCTGGGTTCAAATCCCAACTCTACAGGGTCTGCAGTCACAGAACTAGTTAATGATAGCGCTAGGTCTAAAACCTAGACCTTTTTTGCCTCCCAGTCCAGGGCAATTTATGGCCATATCATTCTGTGACTCTGAGTTTTGAACCAAGTTTTAAGTAGGAGAATGAATATTCATGGAGAAGACCAAGGAAGATAATCAAAAATGGCATCATTGCATTCGTGTATATGGATGACTTACTGGAAGACCATGTGTTTTTTCTTCTAGATTCATCATGGCAGAACTCCTCCAGACAGAAAAGGCATATGTAAGAGATTTACATGAGTGCTTAGAGGTAAGTCTGAGTGACTTGCTTAGCGAGGAAGGAGTTACTGTAAGTGACTTCCAGCCTTGTCAGAAAGATGCCATCCTTGATAGCGGTCCAGGATTGTAGAAAGCACAGAACTCAAGACTCTGTTCTTTTCTCAGAGGGAAGCAGAGAATAAAAAAAATATATATCTCAAAGAAGATACCCCTAGGGTCATAAGAATCATATAGGATCATAAAGTTCTTTGATAAGAGAAATTCAAAAATTGCTCACAGACTGGGTCTGTACCTGCCAAGTAAAGTGGAAAATTAAAGTAATTATCTAGATAATTCCTGTTTCAAAACAAAACACTTATCTCCCACTGGTCATTTAGTAATCAAGTTAACATGGGTTGGTGAGGGGGTGGAGTTTCTTCTGGAATCTCACTTCATTTCAGGGGATGAATTTCACCTGAGATAGTTTGGGATGATTTAGCATATTCAGCTTTGATTTTCTTCCCACTTTGTTTACTCTCTTGTTTGTGTACTTAATTTTACATTTCTCAGTCTGGGCCTTGAGCCAGAAAGTTGGAGGGCTTGTCTGTTCTTGTTTGCATTTTCACATGGCTGTACCAGTTTTGAAACCTGTTGGTGTCTTACAGACATACCTGTGGGAAATGACAAGTGGCGTGGAGGAGATCCCCCCTGGGATTCTTAACAAGGAACACATCATCTTTGGCAACATCCAGGAGATCTACGATTTTCATAACAAGTAGGTTGGTGGAGGATTTCAGGGGAGCTCACTAGTAGCATTGATCATAGAACTGGAAGGGAACTCAGAAGCCAAGTAGTACAACCTCCTCATTTTACAGATGAGGAAACTGAGGCATGTGGACATCAAGTGAGTTGGCCAAGATCATACATGGAGTAAGCATCAGAGACAAGATAGGTGCACAGGTCCTTCACCTCCAGAACCAATGCTGTTTCTACTGTGCCATATTGCCTCCCAGAGAGGTCCCCAACTAGCAGACGATAGTAGATCTCTTCAGAATCTGATATTGGAAAAGATTTAAGATATCATCCAGAACATACCTGAACCAGGAATCCCTTTTATAAGATACCAAACAAGTGCTTATCTAGCCTTAGCTTAAAGATCTCTAGTGATAGAGGACAAATGACCTCTTGGTAGTAGCTCCTTTCCACTTTTCTCAAGGTCCCTAGGAAAATTAGTCAATTATCCAGTCCTTACTAAGGGTCTGCTGTGTACCCAGTCCTGCAAAGTACTATCAGCTAGATATCAGGAGAAGACTGATAGAGACTTTGTCCATAAGATAGGATTTGGCTAAGGAGACAAGATCAGCAAATTGCTTTACAGGCTAGAGCTCCAAGGCATTTGTTGCCGCCATACTCCTACTCATCACACACCCTTCTCTAAAATCTGCCAGGATCTTCAATACATAAGGAGAACTTAACTGTCAAAGGTGCCCCCCTTCTCATGCCCCTACTTAGTTATTTCAACATCAGCAACAAGCGCACACACTGTAAGCTCAAGGCTTTTGGGCAACGAAAGATAAATCTTCCTATCAAAAAGTTCAGAAGTTACCTGCAGGGGAATCTCTCCTTGTACCCTAATTTGATTAAGAAGATCCTGTGTAGCTGAGGGAAAAGGATAGTAACCCAATTGCTGTAGCCCAAATATCTCTTCCCCCATTCTCCAAAATGCACCCAGTCAACTAAGGTTAGGGCAGTAGTCACCAGGTATCTTCTAAAAAGCTAATATTGCCCTCTAAGTTTCTGAAAGTCAAAGGAAGTATTTCTAAGGAGCATAAGATACTCAACTGTGAAACAAACACCCTCTTTATTAATGGAGAGAACAAATGTATTTAGTTATATGGAAATATATACAGGAGAACAAAAATACTCAGTTATATGGAAAACCCACAGAACTTGAAAAAACACAAAAGGGCTAAATTTTGATTGTTACTATTCTCTCCTGGAAAGCCCAGACATCCAGCCTTAGTGCTAGTAGGATGTGACTTGGAGTGAGCCCTAGGATCCCAGTCTTGGCTGGTAATTATGGTTCCAGAACTGGAAAGAGGGGAAGGGAAGGATCCATGTAAACCAGAAAAGAAGATAGCCAGAGAACAGAGCATGGCGGAAAACCTATCTGACATGGTAAGCCCAATCAGACCAGTGGGACCCCTCAGCAGAAGTTCTATATATGAAAGGAATGGAGAGTGCCCAATGTCTCCCAAATTACTTATTATCAAAAAAGCAAAATTTTCCCGTTGAATTATGAATAAAGTCATAGTTCCCCATTGAGGTAAAATGGTCCTTGGCCAAGTCTATCAAAGTCATTCAGCCATCTTTTAAAGTCTTTTAAGTCTTTCGACAAGTAAAGCCATGTCAGTTTCTTTCTCCCACCAAGACTGAAACCTTCATGACTGGGTGAGGGAGGAGGACCTGAAGAAAATTTCTGCCTTGTGAGGTCTCTCTGGAATAGTTGACCTCAAACACCAAAAACTTCTCGTCTACCTTTTAAAACCCACCCGCATAATTCCAAGCTGGAAATCAGGAACTGCCTGAAGAAAATCAATTCACCTGCCAGTCCAAATGATCTAGCCTGCCCTTCATGGAGGAGGCTAAGACTAGAAGTCAAGTACTTTGCTAATTTGCCCATTTGTTTAAAGAAATTTTATACCACTACCTGTATACAGGTGCTGAAAACAGCATTATAAATAGCTTGCAAATGAGTCCTAGTTATTTCAAATGGTGCTGTAGCTACCATATTGAAAAGTAGTTACCAAAAATGACATTTTGCCTCTCTCACAAGAATCTGTCCTCAAAAGCAATAGGAAGTTTGTCAAGGAATTCAATAGGAAAACTGTCAAGCATCAAAATTTCTATGAAAATGAAAACTTCAGCATGCAAAAACAAAGTTTCTCATTTTGGTAGAAAGGTTTAAATAAAATGGTCCTAAGACTTCGCAGTCATCTCCATCACCATTTTTTTTCTGAGTATAACTCAAGTGTATGATTCTTTTATCAATAGGAACATCAATGAAAGAGACTGAGTTTTAATATTAAACACAAGATCAGTCCTTTTTTTCTTTTTTCATTTTGTTCACTGCTCTTAACTTCACGTGTTGCCCTTGGAGAGTCATTTTGCCTTACTGAGGACTCAGTTTCATCATCTGTAAAACAGAGTTGGGCTCATGATCTCAAAAGTCCCTTTCAGGATCTTATGACCTGGTAATCAAATTCAAGAACACATGTAGAATGAATGAATGAATAAAAGACATTTAGTAAGCACTTACTATGTGCCAGACACTATGCAGTGTTTACACTGGGGATATAAATAAGCAAGGAAGACAGTCCTGCCCTCAAGGAGCTTCTATTCTAGTGGAGAAAGGACATAAAGAAAGAGAACTAGAAAGGGAGACAGGTGTATGTGTATAGTGGCATGGTTTGGAAATCATCAGAAAATGATGTGGAAGCCCAGATTTAGGTTGTTGTTGCTCAGTTGTCCAGGCATGTCCACTCTACATGACCACATGGACATTGTCCATGGGGTTTTCTTGGCAAAGATCCTGGAATGGTTTGCCATTTCCTTCTCCAGTGTGTCCACATTTTACAGATGAGGAAGTGAGGCAAATAGACATTAAGTGACTTGACCAGGGTCACACAGCTGGTAAGTGTCTGAGGCTGGATTTCAACTCAGATCTTCCTGACTTCAGGCCTGGTGCTCTATCCACTGTGCCACCTAGCTGTCCCTGGATTGGGGTAAGACAAGGCAAAATCTCACCTATCAGAGCCCAGGGTCTCAGGGGTAGAGTCTAGGTTCTAGTGGGAGGGGTTGCTGAAGATGGCCAGAATGTAGGAGGCATGGTTTGGAAATAGGGAAGTGACAAAGAAGAGAGTACCATTAGCATCTCCTATGTCCTCTTTCCATAATATCCAACAAGTGAATTCTGTCTGGTCTCTTAAACATGGTATCCCCATTAAATTTTAGGAAAGTGTTTTCACAGCATAGCTTGTATTGCACATAGCATACTTTCAGAGGTATATAATGTTGGTTAAGGGCCTGTATGCACCCAAAATATTCTTTATTTTTACTAAATCTGAATGCTAGTGATTGCTGGCAATGAATTTTTAGCTTGAAATGTTTGAAAATCTGGAGGAAATGAGTCAGTCTGGACAGTGTCATCTTTCCAGAGCCATCAGGTGTCAGATCTGGGAGGGACTTAAGAAATCATCTGGTCCAATCCCCTCATTTTATAGAGGAGGAAACAGACCTAGGGAAATAACATGACTTGCTGGAGATCATGTAGGAACTAAGGGACAGAGTCAGAAGTCAAGTCAGCAAGTGTTTATGAAGCCCCTACTATGTGCCGTGCACTGTGCTAAGTGCTGGGAATGCAGAAGAAAGGCAAAATCAGTCCTTACCCTCAAGGAACTCAGTTTAGTGGGAGAGACAGTATGAGAGGCCAAATGAGGATGTACCAGCAAAGTCTGTCCAGGATAAACTGGAGATAATCACAGAGAGAAGGTGCTAGTATTAACTCCAATCCCAGTACTGTTTCCAAACCCTCTCCTCTGACTTGTCAATATTGTTGTGATTTTGAATTAAGCATGATTAATGTATGACATTGGCCGCCAACTGCGGAACATGTCCACCCATCTTTTCCATAACCATTTCCTGGTCCCCAATCCTTTAGAGCAATTACTTTTGATGGATCGTGGGAGCATCTGTTACAGTGTTTTCAGGCGTTAGGATAAAAGGAAGTCCAGGAGCTAATGGGCTTCCAGATCTAGAATTCACAATTTTATGTAGTCAAACCGGAACCTTTCCCCCTCAGAGAGGAGACCATGGGCCACCTACCCCTCGGGAGCCCCAGGCTCTCTAAAAGGACTAAATCTGAATAACCTCACTGTAGTCCTAAGAATACACAGACTGATATTATATCCAGGCATTTATTTGCCTGAGGTGTGGCCAACTGCTGGTCTTGTAGATACCTCAGAAGTCCTGTGGAACTATACGCCCATTTGTAGCCCCAGAGCACAGAAATATCTTATGTGCTTCTACTGTTCATCCCTGCATTCTTTCAGGTATAACAGAGTCCAGCACAAAAGGGCAGATGGCAAAGTTTGTTTTCATTGCCCCTATCCTGTTATTCCTTTGCCCTTTGCCCTGCTAATTTGGTAGCAGCCCTCCCCTGCCCTTGCTTCAGGCACCAAATAGGTAGCATGTCTTAGTGGTTAGACAGTCAGTCTCTGAGCCAGGAAGACCTGAGTCTTCTGCCTCAGATACATATGATTTTGTGACCACTGGGAGAGTCACAACCTCTCAGTACTCTAAAGACAACTCTCTAAGGCTGTCTTGTCACTGTGCCCATATGGTTCTGGAGGAGAGGGTGAGGCTGGTGACTTTGCACAGTCCTGCCTCACTTAAATCCAATTCATTTGTAAGTCAAGACATCACCATCCTGATGTCATTGGTCCTCTATGAGAACAAAGGACAAACAACAACAAACAAGGCTACAGATTTTAAAGAAGGCACTGTATTGGTGGAGGGAGTTTCCCCACTGAGGAGTTCCCTATACTAATGAATCCCAAGCCCAGGGTCTATCCCTATCCCATTCACTTAAAACAAAAAAAGGATCTAAAAGAGCATTGATTGATTGCTTACTATCAGCTCTGTGGTGTAGTGGGTAAAGTACTGGGCTTGGAATTGGGAAAATATGAATTCAAATCATGCCTCAGTTTCCTCATC